CACCTGCGTTCGTGGGATAGGAACTGGAGGAGAATCCGTTGAGAACGACCTTTAATTCTCTGTTTGACAGGAATGATTGTATTAGATCAAACAGTCGACCAGTAATACCATAACCCTGGAGCTTACGAAGAAGGCCGACGTGCCAAAATTACTTATTATAAAACGCAGATTGTGTGTGTGTGTTTGTGTGTGTGTGTGTGTGTTTGTGTGTGTGTGTGTGTTTGTGTGTGTGTGTGTGTGCGTCTGTACGTTTATATATTCGATCGTATTTCCTACATTTTTCAACAGATTTAGACAAAACTTCTCAGGTCTACGTAAAATTACCTTGCGGTGGTTCTGACAGCGCCAAAAATTGGAAAAACACAATTGTTTTTGCACGAAATCAATTTTGAAAACACGATAAAACACGATTCTGTCGCCAGAATGAAAGGGGGACAACTCATATCGAGTTATACTTATTATAAAACCCAGGTTGTTTGTGTGTATGTGTGTGTTCGTTTATATATGGGATCGGATTTCCTACATTTTTCAACCGATTTCAACAAAACTTCACTTTTTTTTGCAGGTAGTGTTTCTTATTGTCTTGCACACTTTTTTCCTTTATTTTTACATTCAGAATGCTTTAAAAATTCCATTTACAAGACAATTGTTTATAATAATATTCTATTCATCAATCGATAGACACATAACGATTGAAAACAATGTTTTTGTTTGAGTTTGGGTTTGACCAATTCGTAAAAAAAAACAAAACTAATTAAGACATGCGTGTCCGTCAACCTTAAACAATAATCTTTGTCAATTTTATTTTTCAGTCTTTATGATGGTCGGTACTTGATCTATCTCTTACTGTTACATCCCCAGGCAACGCCGGGCTCTACTGCTAGTATATATATATATATATATATATATATATATATATATATATATATATATATATAATATGTAATGCAACAATCTGAGCTTTGAATGCTATCCTATTTACACAGGCAATTTTCTCATGATATTTTCGATTTGACGTGGCCAGTATGAAGTTCTTCATTTGAAAGCACAAAAGCTAACCTGATTCACTCTCTTTCGTACCATCATTCAAATAAGTCGACGGGTGTCCATCAGTGTCACACCCTCACCAACAAAAGCACACACAGAGCTTTTAATGTCGTTGCCAGCCATTTGTTCTCTGTCCTAATTACATTTACGTGCTTGAAAAATATGCGATAGCAAGACAGTAGGAACATCTTCAATGTAGCCATGGAAACGAAGCCATAAGATATGCATCCATAATCTTCTTACCGTAAACAGTTCCGTTCAATTTTTTTTCCCAATCTGTATCTTGTATTGGTTAAATCTATATGGCTTCGTTTCAAGCGTAATGACGTCAGAAAGATTACTTACGAATTGTGTCAAAGATGGAAACACGTGATGTGGGGGATTCTGACTGTACGATCGAGTAAGACTAGGCTTTTTAGCATAGGAGTCTTTCATTTGATTTAAATCGTGATAATCCCAAATCCTTGGGTTTGCACTGCTAATCATAATATGTTTGCTTGTCTTCTAGGTTCGTAAACTGTTCTTTCTGTCCTGATCTAGCACTTGTCGAAATTTCCCGACGGAGAAAGGAGTTTAGCTTATTGAGTGTTCCACCTTTTCTTGCTGAAGGTAGCAGAGAAAGCATTGACTTTGATGATCATGCGCTGAATATTCGTCGAAATCTCTTCAAATCAAAGACTGTCGGTTTAATTGTTTATTCGACTTTTTTGTCCAATTTTCGAATGACTGAGAAAAGTCGAAAATACTTAAATAAACAATAACAGAAAATGAACTTCGGACAGTTTATCCACCATTGTGAGGACAATACTCAACACATTCGATAATTGGAAAAAATAAAATAAGAAATGAAACAGGCAGATCTTGTCAGGTTGTTTTTAATCAAAATTGTTTGGGATTTATCTATCTATCTCTACTCATTCTATCTATCTATCTATCTATCTATCTATCTATCTATCTATCTATCTCTACTCATTCAACCTATCTATCTATCTATCTATCTATCTATCTATCTATCTATCTATCTATCTATCTATTCAATCTATCTCATTCATCTATCTATCTATCTATCTATCTATACTCATTCAACCTATCTATCTATCTATCTATCTATCTCATCTCTACTCATTCAACCTATCTATCTATCTATCTATCTCTACTCATTCTATCTATCTATCTATCTATCTATCTATCTATCTATCTATCTATCTATCTATCTATACTCATTCAATCTATCTATCTATCTATCTATCTATCTATCTATCTATCTATCTATTCTTTTCATGTCCTGGGTATGACAGCAAACTACATCCAGCAGCAAGGACTCTGATCAGAAGATTTTGAGGAGTCTGGAAGCACCTCGTAATTGCTGTTCCCAGGTCCACTTTGATCCGGGCTGGTAACACCTGTTAGGGTTCAAGCTATGGGCGAATAATTAACCCTCAAACTGGGGTCAAAGCACCGTGAAAGCATTAAAACCGACTTTTATAGTAAAATTACCAGCAATACATTTTTGAAAAAAAAAAAAACTACCCGCAATAGATTTTTTTTTGAAAAAATACAAAGAATTACGAGCTATACATTTGACTGTTGACAAAACCCCTCTTTACAAAAATGGATCAATGAAATATAATTTTCTACAAACTGACTTCTTACAAAGAATATATATTCTGTTCATATGAATGTCTCTTAAAAATGTTGTCGGCATTAAATAACCCACCGAGGTTGATATGTCGTAAAACAAAATAAACTATAAATTATTTTCATCTTTTTTGTTATTATCACAAAGTTTTGTCCGTTGTACTCTCCGGCCTTCATCAGGTGACCGAAGAATTTCAGACTTAATCTTTTATTTAAATTAAGACCGAAACGCTGTGATAACCACAACAAAGATAATAATAATAATAATAATAATAATAATAATAATGCTGTTTGGGGGCAAAGTGGAGTAATGGCTCGGATTGATGAATCGAAGAGCCAAGTTCGAATTTCAGTTGAGTTCATTACATTTGTGGGATCAGTCTACTCGGATTCTAGGTGATAAATAAAATCCGAGTCTCGTATCCACAAATACGACAGACATTTTTATACAACGCGAAGAAATGATCTTCGCAGAAAAGGATGAAGACCAAGCTAAATATGACAATAAAATTTATACAGTCAGATACATATTTATACAGTCAGATACATATTTATACAGTCAGATACATGAATTTACATATATAAAAATTCAATGTTATTTGTTGTAGCTATGAAGAGACCAATAGATCGATTGTCCGAAATGATTTGTCGCAAGTGAGCCTGCAAAGTTTCGAAGTGTTTTTGTTAGAAATGAGGAAATCATGTGGTATAGTATGTCAATGGGTGTGTGTGAAGCATACGCTAATGAAATGTGTGTGACTGATGACTCATTGCATACGATAGCAGTAATTTTTAAACACATTGAACAAAGAGATTTATTCTCGTCCTGGTATTGTATATAGAAAAATCATCACTGACATACGCATTATAATGGTATGCGTGTCTATGTTGTTGATCGAGGTTTGGTCTGGTTCACCCTCTTTGGCCGATTGTCATTCACTGACTGTGTCGTTGCAGATCTGGTCGCTGACTGTTGTTAATGAGCAGTTTTTATTGCTATGGGTCGACTCCGAATCGCTATCTGAGTTTTGCGCGAGAATGTATTCAGTGTTCTAGATCCTGACCTATTTACAGGTCATTTGGAGTTCAACCGCGCTGACGTAGTAGAGAGAAAATCACGTGACTTGTCATGTCTAATCAGTTTCCAGAAACCACTGATTTAATTTGGGGCTGTGTTTGCACTGAATTATAAAAACGTTTTTCGCATCTACTGATTTTAGTAAGATTTATTTGTAGGTGTCTCTCACTTGTTTGTGCTTCACTTATTGGCCGTAAAATATGTGTTTATATCCTTTACATTCACTTACGTACAAATATCCTTGGCAAAAGTATGAATCCATCTCTTCTCTCCTCAGAACCTGCCTAAGAGAAGGACAACTTGGAATTCAAATCCCCCACCTATAGGTTAAATAGCCTCACCAATCAGCAATTGGCTAAGCGTGGTAAGTACGGCTGCATCTCTGAAAGAAGGGGTTTCTCAAACAGGAAGAGGAAGGCCCTGGAATTTGATTCGATATACTTTCGGCGGCTCTGGAAATTTATTATGAATTCAGATTAGGTAGAAGTATCAATCTGAGGTAAAGAATTATAGCCTAGGTAGTGAAATTAGCCGACAAGAGGTCTCGATATAACATATAAGATGCAAAGTTATATTAAAAATGTTTACAAAATGTTGTTGAAATAGACGCCATTTACGTCAACAATCGCTAACTTTTGATACCCTAAACAACATCAGATTAAAAAGAAATGGGGTGTTTGAAAACATTCGAAAATTTAGTCCTTGCTAGTTTTAGGAGATTGTCACATGTGAGTCTTTAAATAAAATTTTCCAATTATAATTATTGTACCCTGCTCTTTCACGGCGTCGGTCTTTATCAACTCAATGCTCTGTAAGCATTTTCAAACAATCTACCATTATCATAACAAAGACACTGTCACCTGGCGATGAAAGAACAAGGGAGATAACCCAAGTATAGAAATAGAATTATATTGCATTACAGATAAAATATGTTACACTTGCAGTATTATAAGATAATCTTGAATTTTTTTAAAAAAATCTCGTCCTTAATCTCGTGTGAGACGAGAATAACGAATCTGAACACATTCGTGTCATGGAAACGGTTCGTATTTGCTCGTCTGGGAAGGATTTTCATTTAAGCAGACAATTGGAATGGAAAATTGCCAGGATAATGGTCACAGAAAGTGGGAAAAAGTTCTTAGTCTCCTTTTCAGTTCCTTTCTTCATATTTAATCAATTGGCCCGTGACCAGCTGGGCAAATTAAATCATTTCATGTTTGTAAATATGGAACTTTGAAATACCCAGGATCTCCTTAGCCAGGCAAGAAAGCCAGAACTAAATAAGTAAACAAAATTTCAAGAATTTATAAAATAATATATGTAAAGATTCCTTCGAAAAGCTAAACAATTTAAGAAACAGACGAATTTCGTTACAAACAAAGAAAAGAGTACTGAACTGCTTTGAATGGTAGACAATTTTTTCATAGATGAAGAAGAGACTTGAGACAACATAGATATGGTTCTACAGAAGGATACTGAGAATACCATATACAACAAGGAGGTTTTAAGTATAATAGAAGCAAAAATGATACTTGGACTTAGGATGAGAAAGAGACAATTGAAGATATATTGGACACATAATGAGAAAAAAGGGCTAGGAGTTTTTGACACACACAAGGACATATTGAACAGAGGGAAACAGCGAGAAACCTACCTAACGATCGTATGTAAATGAATGGTGGAACGGAGTTGAAGGGATAATAAAAAGACAAACATTGCTAACAGCTACAAATGATAGGAAGTTGTGGAGAGTCATGACCGCCTACTTCCTGAAGTGACATAATACATAAAAGAAAAGATTACTTTTTTTGCTTTTTTTACAATGATGTTCATCCTGTACAAGGCTCGAAAGCCACTCAAGGTAGAAGGTTACAGAGTAAGAGGCACAGTTTATGCGGAAAAGACCGTGAAAGACGACTACAAATGCTAGAAGCATTAAGCATAAAAAACAAATTGCATCAAAAAAGTTTCCAAATTTGGCAAGAAACACCCGAATTAGATTCTATTTAAAAAATATATCAAAACATAACAACACGAACTGTCACGTGAAGACACGATACTTTTAAAAATCCGACATGACACGCGGAAATGCGATATTTGAAAAACGACGAAGCTGACAGAAAACAAAAACAAAAAACACTTTGATAATGACTTGTGAAAGCCGAAATTATACAGACACTCGACAATTTATATTTAAATATTTAACGGAAACCATAAAAATGATCCGAAATGTAGAAGAATCCTTAGTCTACCCTGCTATTTAACCCATAATTTTGATGAGGGGAGAAAAGATCAATCCATGCCTTATAATACTGGTAATACTGATATAATACTTACTGTATACCTACTTTTGCAGCCCTGCATATCTTAAGGACGTAGGTGACCATACCTCCTTTTCTTTATTATCTGCAAATTGACATGATTTCTTGGGAAAGACAATTAATTCCTGTTAGGTTCTCCATAGTTTTGCATTAAAAGTTGTCTTCCTTTTAAACTTGCTACCACCCAAAGCTATAGAGCCTGGTCTACTCAGTTATTTAATCCATAACTTTGATGAGGAGAGAAAAGATCAATTCATGCCTTTCCCAAGGGTATTAGTGCAAAAATGAACATGACTGACGAGGCCAGAATTTGAACTCTGCTCACAAATTTTACTTTATGTGCTGATAATCATTGCACTATTTGCACAGTATATATTGTCTTTACTCATCAACGACCTTCCTGACGCCATAGATTCCCAAGTTGGCATCTACGCGGACGACACTACAATTTACTCCTGCCTCAAAAACAAATCTAGTGTCGCTGACAAAACTAACTTGGCCGCTCGTCTTGAAATGGATCTCCAATCGGTTGTTAACTGGGGCAAGAATTAGCTGGTCAACTTTAACGCCCCCAAAACTAAACTACTCCCTATTAATCACCATAGAGATCCTTCCCTGCCCCCCATTAGAATGTCTGATAGTCAACTTCTTGAGAGCAACTCCCTGCGTCTGCTCGGTCTGACTCTGACTGCTGACCTGAGATGGAACAAATACATTGAGTCAATTGCTTCTTCCACCGCGAGGAAAGTTGGCTTTCTGTTCCGCGCCAGGAAATTTTTCTCCCCGGAATCGATACTTCAAATATACAAAACAACCATTCGCCCTTGCATGGAGTATTGCTGCCATTTATGGGCTGGAGCACCTTCTGCTTACCTCGGAGTTCTTGACAAGATCCAGAGACGGATATGTAATATAATTGGCCCTGATCTGGCGTCTCGTTTGCAGTCACTCTCTCAGAGACGCGATGTCGCCTCTCTCTGTCTTTTCTACAAATACTTCCATGGTAATTGCTCCGATGAGCTGCTTTCACTGGTTCCCAGACTCCATGAATTCAAGCGCCCTACGAGGCTGGCATCGCGCTCCTACCCTTACACTATAGAAATTTTTAAATGTAGCCGTCTCTTCTACTCCAATAGCTTCATACCTCGCACCTCTCGCCAGTGGAACACCCTTCCCAATTACTATTTCCCTGAAAGCTATAATCTCCAACTATTCAAATGTAATGTCAATCGACACCTCCAGTTACCTTGATCTACCCACTATCCTTCTCCTCATCCTTTCTTCTATCGCTCCTATCCACTCTCGCTCCAAATCTTCCGCAACCCCCTGCATCCTAGTGGCTTCACGCCTTGCTCGGGGCGTAATGCTTAAAAAAACCCAAAAAAAACTTTCAACAAATGATATAAAATTTAAAATATTTAATAAATTCTGTTCACCCACACATTGCGCGCGTGTGTGTGTGCAATAAATAAAGGAAATTGTCGATTTCAGCAAGTAATCTGTCCGTTGCTTAAATTGCTGCAACTGATGTCCCGCTTGACTACATGCATGGCGTCTTCTCTTATTTTATCACATCTACTGCTGTTGAATGTAAATAAAACTGGTCAAAAAAAAAAAAAAAAAAAAAATTTTGAAACGCTGTCGAGACACCAAACATCTTTTTAGCTAATTTGACGGCGCTGAATCTGAAAATGACTTCACATCTTGGTTGACTATCGTTTCTGCTATACAAAAATACATCATTTTGGGGGAAAATATTATTTTTTTTCATTTGTTTTCTGTATATATGATATTGACCGATGCAATATTTCTCAAAATAAAATCGTAGAAACCTCTCAATTCGTATTTAAACCAACAAATATTGGTCTGCTTATTGAGAAATCCTATTTTTGCAATAACAATCAGACTCTAAGTCTTTAAAAATAACACAATTGTATATACCAAGACCAACAAGTATTTTCATCAAATCATTTAATAGACAGCAGAAATAAAAAACTTCATGCACATAAGAACTATGGTAAAAAATGTTCTCTTTCTTGATTGTCTTTCATGTTCAATGTTATTTAAATCCCTTTTGAAACTCCAACAGTATCATCTACAATGGAATAGGTGCATTCAATTGGGATGTCTTTAGTTGGACTTTCTTTCCAATTGTGAAAACAAAATGCTCTCAATATGCTTGGTTTCCTTCCGTAATTATTAGGTTTACTAAAGTGTATTACAAATAAAGTTTATCAATTAATTTGAATTTTGGTGATAAATTGGAAAAAATCGGTGCTTCTATTTTAAAAGTTTTGACTCAAGACACTTTATTTCAGGTGGCTGACATAAATTGCTCGCACTACCTGAAAATTGACGGGTTTCTACGATCTTTATTAATTTTGCGATCAGACAAGATTGTAAATTGATCTTTTTTTAAAAAATGAGCAATTTCAGAACAGCAGAAATAGTAGCTAAACAAAAAAAACTAAGGTGACTTCCGGAATCAGCACCATCAAATTAGCTAAAAATCTGTTTCGTTTCTTGGCACCAAAAATCGTGTTGACCAATGTAATAACTCTTCATCCTAGAATTTTAATCAGAAATTACCAAAACTAAGGCAGCGAAAGGTATTTGAGGACATCATTTTTGGGGTTATTTCTGCATTTTACTAAACTTTATATCGTGTACTTTTCGGAAAATAATATGACAAACACTCAGCTTACTCAAGAAATGAAAAGGCGTTTTGGAATCATGGCTTTAAAGGCTGAGCATAGCGATTTAGAGATATATCGATTTTTAAAAATCGCTAGATCTTTCGTCTACAAAGTTCATAAGGAGTTTGTAAACGAAAGACCTGGCGATTTTTAAAAATGGAAATCTTTCGCAAGTGACGTCATGGATTTTCTGGGATTGTCACCAATGATTTGGTGAACTTGTTGGATAAATTCAGGTGTTCTTATGATGTTAGAGCCTTTGGAAAGCATCTTTGGTTCGGTCTCTAAGTTCATAAGGAGTTAAAGACCGAATTAAAGCGTAAAAAGCATTCCATAAAAGTAAATTCCATCAAAGTAAATTTCATAAAAGTAAATTTCATAAAAGTAAATTTCATGAAAGTAAATTTCATAAAAGTAAATTTCATGAAAGTAAATTTCATAAAAGTAAATTTCATAAAAGTAAATTTCATAAAAGTAAATTTCATAAAAGTAAATTTTATAAAAGTAAATTTTATAAAAGTAAATTCCATAAAAGTAAATTTCATAAAAGTAAATTTCATAAAAGTAAATTTCATGAAAGTAAATTTCATAAAAGTAAATTTCTGTCGAAAGAAGTTTATAATAATATCCGTATCGTAGGCTCCCAACGTCCTCGGATGTATGGGTTGCCGAAAATACATAAAATGGATGTTCCACTAAGGCTGATTTTGTCCATGTTGGGTTCAGCCCAGCATAATTTGGCTAAGTGGCTTAACAAATTTCTAGAACCTGTTTTTAATTTTCTATTCTGAATATTGTGTGTCTGACTCTTCAGTTTGCTGATTATATGCGCAAACTGAAACCAAATTCCGATACTAAGATTTTCGTATCGTTCGATATAACCAGTCAGTTCACTAATGTCTCACTGGATGAAACAATAGAAATCTGTGCAGCCTTTTTGCATCGTGGCCCTGTAACGACTCCATCTTTCCCTGAGAGTGTTTTTTTTTTGAGTTGATGGAGATGGCTACGAAGTCTGCCTCCTTCAGCTTTGACAACTTCATGTATCAGCAGATGGATGGGATAGCGATGGGTAGTCCTTTGGGTCCTTTGTTGGCCAATATTTTTGTTGGTTTTCATGAAAAACAGTTATTTAATAAGATTGCTACTTCCGCTATGTAGATGATACTTTAGTGGATCTAGGAAGGTTGCGTGAATATTTAAGATTGTGCTGCAAATAA